TCTTCTCTCCCTCTGCCCTACCGCCACATGCATGTGAGCTGTCTTAAAAGACAACACAATGAGACTAAATTTTTTCAGACTATTTTGTTGCAGTTGAAAAATATATATTAGTAAGTATTGTAATTATGGGTTGACAGAATAGTTAATTTTGAGTTATTTAGCTTATTATTTTTAAAAAGATGCCCTTTCCTTTTTTTAACTTTTAATTTGAGGCATATATAGACTCAGTTTCCTTTTTTTTTAAGATTTTATTTATTTATTCATGAGAGACGAGAGAGAGAGAGAGAGAGAGAGAGAGAGAGGCACAGACACAGGCAGAGGGAGAAAGCAGGCTCCATGCAGGGAACCCAACATGGGACTCCATCCCAGGTCTCCAGGATCATACCCTAGGCTGAAGGCGGTGCTAAACCGCTGAGCCACCCAGGCTGCCCTCAGTTTCCTTTTATTTTTTTTTTCTTTTGGATTTTTAGTTTTTTAACAAACTTGGGATATGAAGACAAGGATAAATGAGGACAGTTTGGGAAAAACTGGGATACGTGTTCCCTCTAGCTATTAAGGATGATAGTGGAAAAGAAACTTACATTTATTTAGCACCTAATACATAGCTGGACCAGGCCAGTTACTTTAAGTTGGCATTTTACTTTGTCTTCTCAACAATCCAAGCATGTCAGTATTATTATCTTTTTTTTTTTGGTATATATTTTTATTGGGGTCCAATTTGCCACATGTAGCATAACATCCAGTGCTCCCATCAAGTGCCCCCCTCAGTGCCATCACCCAGTCACCGGAACCCCCGCCCACCTCTCTATCACCCCTTGCTTGTTTCCCAGAGTTAGGAGTCTCATATTCTGCCCCCCTCACTGATATTTCCCACTTATTTTCTCTCTATTCCCTTTCATTATTTTTTATATTCCCCAAATGATTGTCCTTCTCCAGTTGACTTACTTCACTCAGCATAATACCCTCCAGTTCCATCCATGTTGAAGCAAATGGTGGGTATTTGACAAAATACAGCATCCATTCCTGATCAAAACTCTTCAAAGTGTAGGGATAAAGGGAACATTCCTCAGCATCTTAAAAGCCATCTACAAAAAGCCCACAGCAAATATATTCTCAATGGGGAAACACTGGGAGCCTTTCCCCTAAGATCAGGAACATGACAGGGATGTCCACTCTCATCGCTGCTATTCAGCACAGTACTTGAAGTCCTAGCCTCAGCAATCAGGCAACAAAAAGAAATAAAAGGCATTCAAATTGGCAAAGAAAACTGTCCCTCTTTGCAGATGACATGATACTGTACATAGAACCCCCAAAAAACTCAGTTTCCTTTTAAAGCAATGGTTTTACATCTGATATAATCACTAGGTTATGGTGAATGAGAGACTTAAATAATGTTCATTCTGTTACCTGACAAGTTTTATTTTTTTCTTTACATGAGAAGCTTTTCTGGAAACAACTTCACAGCATTCTTTCCAGGATAGGTATTTGTTAATATTAGTATTTGGGAATTTGAAGCAAAATGAACATTAGTCTTACCTGTGGTTACTTTTTCAAAAACGCGAATAGGTCCATTCCTGATTCTTCTGCCCCCCCGCCCCTCCATGTTATTGCTGTCTTATTGCTATTGTCCCCTTCTTTTTTTTGTTAAAGTATAGTCTTGAATTCATGACCCTGAGATTAAGAGTCAGATGTTTAATTTACTGAGCCACTCAGATGCCCTGCTATTTCCCTCTTTGATAGCCACACTACAGAAGTATTTAGTTAAAGCAGATATTTTAGGAATTGTTAGCATTTGAATAAAGGTTATGTTAATGTTCATGTAACTTCAGGGCAAAGCAGTTATCTGGTACTAAATGAGTGAGAGTTTCTATTTTAACAAATACATGTGAATGCACCTATCAGTGCTGAATTAATGCCTTACTCTGGGAATTTAAAATATATGATAGCTGTATTATATGCAAGTACCTTTTCACCACAAAATGGTATCTATTATTTGACAACAATTATGTATACAATTTGGCAAATTAATTTTTTGAAAGGTAAAAATGGTTAAAGAAATGTTCCATCTTAAAAGTGTTTTCAGAGTGTTAATTATTTTGCATTTAGATGATGGTATATATTAAAACCCACTCAGTTGATGGTGGTAATATAATCTATGGTTAGTAATAATAGGTACATGAATGAGAGAGAACAGTATGTAAAAAGTGAAACATGTATATGCTACATAATTGATATATTTAAGAAATGTCTTGCTTAGGGAAGGGTAGCTGTTAGGCAAGTTGGAGGAAGAGGGGCACACTAAATAGTATATTGGCAAGCTTCCTGAAATGCATATGCATAGTAATTTGAGGCACATTGATTTTTAAATGTCAGCCAGCTTTTATTCTCTTCTTTCTCTAGCATCTATTTGTATGAATAGGGACTATTCTTGCTTCTGAAGGGGGGTTTATTAAGGTTATTGTGAACATTTGTTATATAGGAAATAAATTACCACTGCTATATATAAAACTAACATTAAATTTGTGATACTGGCAATAGTTTGTGAGAGATTTAATTCTTTATATGTTAATTGATGGCTAAGAAATTTTCCATTTCACTGTTGAGATTTAGAGACATTGCAAACAAATGTCTTTAGTTATGTTCATGACCTTCAACAACATGCTAAAATGAATTACTGCAAGTATCACTTATATTCCAAACTTAAGTATCTTTTTGCTAAATTGGTTTAATCAGGATTGTGTGTTCATCAGCTATTAACATTCTTTTTAGTGGCCTTTAATGCTTTATAAGTCTTTATAGAATGTTGAGAAGCCAAGGATACTCCTGGGAGATTGAATGTCTATCTGCCTTATTTCATAAAATCTAAGGTGCTTTTGAGAGTGTGCTTTCTTAATCTTCCTAGACTGAGTTAGTGAAAGGTAACTACAAAACCATCTTTCAAAAAACAAACAAACAAAAAAAACCCCAAAACCCCCCCAAAAAACCGTCTTACACCTGTCACCTGGAGACAATGATTATAAGACACTATAGAATATCAGAGGCATCCAGTCTTCAGAGAAGTTAAAATATGAAGAAATGCATATCCTAGAATTATTAAATTAGGAGTTTTGAAGTCACTCACTATAAATTTTAAAAGATACTTATGATAATCTTGTGTTCTGATTTTTTTTAAAGATTTTATTTATTTATTCATGAGAGACAGAGGGATTGAGAGAGGGGCAGGCTCCACGCGGGGAGCCCGATGCGGGACTCAATCCTGGGACCCCAGGATTATGCCCTGGGCCGAAGGCAGGCGCTAAACTGCTGAGCCACCCAGGGATACCCTGTGTTCTGATTTTTTTATGATTAGGCCAATATGGTACACTGAGAAATTTCTATTGTATTGTTTTGAGTTTGCAGTCTTTTGTTCACTTTAAATACTACTCAATGTTTCATTATTAGATTCATGTAATAGAATATATAGTTATCCTTGAGATCATTTTTTAACCTGCCGTAAAATACTGTTAATTTTCATTACCTAGAGTGTAAGGAGATGTGTTTTGAGCTAGTTGCTTTGAACAAGGGGTATAGGCAAATTTTTTTATATATGCTTTATGTACACTAATGTTAAGGCTGGAGTTGTGTTCATTTACTCACAGTGTCCATTAAGAAAAGGTTTATGATTTAAAAAAATGAGATAATCACAAGAATGTTTAATTATGTTCTTCTTATATCCTGTACCACTACATGCTCCACAAACACAGTTCTAATAATGATATTTCTTCATTCACATTTAATGCAATGAGAAATAAAGGATCTCTTTGAAATGGGAATAGGAAGGGAATTATGATAAAGGGAACGTAACCATTATTATATTTTTTTACCCTCTATATGGTTTGCTTTTTATTTTGTGTACATTTTTTATAAGAACTAAGCATCTTTTATAGAAATGACTTCATATTACTTATACAATAAAGATATGGCATTTGACATTCTTCATGGTTTATTCCAAACTCCCTTTGGGTTTTTTTTTTTTTTAAGATTTTATTTATTAATGAGACATGCAGAGAGAGAAGCAGAGACATAGGAAGAGGGAGAAGCAGGATCCCTGTGGAGCGCTTAATACCACACCAGGACCCCAGGATCATGACCTGAGCCAAAGGCAGATGCTCAACCATTGAGGAACTCAGGCACCCCTCCCTTTGGATTTTCTTTTTTTTTTTTCCCCTTTGGATTTTCATCTTCACCTAATTATTCCTCCCTCAAGCCATACTCGTCTACATTTTTGTCTCAGATCTCCTGCATTTTCAGGACTGGGTTTAAATTTTTCCCTTTGCCTTATCCACCCTTTAAGACTGACCCAGCTTTTTGAACTTTTCCAGCTCCCTCCATATAAGTACTTCTTACTCCACTATTTTGCAGGGGCAAATACATCTATATAGCACTTACCAGAGACCACCTTTTGGTAGCATTATTTATTTGTCTGGTTTTCTTGTTAGATTTTGGGACTCAGTTATTTAGGTTTGTATTATCTCTTGTAAGTATGTAGTATAGATGTACTATGAGTGATTTTTGAATTGAATCCTTATAGATTTTTACATATATGCATTACTTCTTTCAGTTTTTTCCCAGAGACACTCTGTGGTAATTTTGCCAGAATTACTAATAATATGTTAATAATTTTTATGTCTTAAGTTTTCATTCTCAGCATTTACCACTATTTTAAGTATAAGAATTATTCTTGAATCACATTGTATACTGGAAACTAATAGAACACTGTATGTTAATTATACTTGAATAAATAAACAAAAACAAAGAAGTACCCTCCTGTGATAATCTATTTCCAAATTAGTTTAAAAAAGGATTATTCCTTTGCTGGTTACTGTCTCACAGTGCAAAAGATAATAATTGCAAAGATAATTTTTTCACAGTATCTATTTGTTATACAAATTTTGATAATTATACAAGCTTATATAAGGAAGAATATTTTCAAAATAAAGTGTTTTTCTTTTGTTTTGTAGTTTACTTCCTCAGAATGTCGGTCTGCTCTATGTTGGAGGTTATGAAAGACCCTTTGCACAAATCAAGGTATGATTGTTCATTTTTCAGTATACTTTTTTAGATGTAGTTCACTTGTCCGGAACCCACCAAAAACCTGCAAATAACTATAAACGTATCAAAAATATTATGAATGTGAATTACTGATTTCATTTGTTTTTGCATGTTTCTCCTGAAGAAGTCATTAAGTTTTTCAAAGGATTGTTTTAATTTTCTTGCTCATAGTAGAGTTAAATTTGACCAAAGCACTATTTAACCTGTGTAATTTGGTAAATTTTGATATGCTTAAGCTTGTGAAACCATCACTACAATCAACAAAATGAACATATTTCATCACCGCCAAAAGTTTCCTGTGCCTCTTTGAAATTCCTCACTCCTGCACTTCTTTTCTTCCAGTCTCTTGGCGACCACTGATCTGATTTGTGTCATCATAGATTAATTTGCATTTTTTAGAATTTTATATAAATAGGATTATACAGTATTTATACTCTCTCACCCCCCTTCTCCTTCTCCCAACCGCTTTCATACAGCATAATTATTTTGAGATTCATCCATATTGTCATACTTACCAATAGTTCATTCTTTTTAATGCTGAATAGTACTCCATTATATGGTTATAGCACAGTTTCTTTATCCTTTCACCTGCTGTATGGACTTTTGGGTTGTTGCTACTTTCTGGCTACTATGAACACTTGTATACAAGTCTCGGTGTGGATATATATTTTCTTTCCTCTTGGGTAAATACCTAAAGTAGCAATGGCTGAGTTAAATGGCAGTTGTATGTTTAACTTTTGAAGGAAAAAAACAAAACCTATTTTCTCACCTGCAAGGTATGAGAGTGCCAGTTCCTCCATCCTGGTCTGGCCCATCTTTTATTAAGTTTAGTCATCGTAAGGGGTACATAGTGGTGCTTCACTGCAGTTTTATTTTTCATTTTTGTCATGACTAATAATGCTGAGCATCTTCTCATGTGCTTGTCATCTGTACATCTCTAGTGAAGTGTTTGTTCAACTCTTGCCATTTTTAAAATTGGGTTTTTGTGTTTTTACTGTTGAGTTGTAAGATATTCTTATAATTTCTGGATATGTCCTGTATCAGATCTGTGATTTGCAGCTTCCCCCCCCCCATCTATGGCTTCTCTTTGCATTCTCTTAACAGGGTCCTCAAAGAGCAGAAGTTCTTAATGTTGATGTTCAGTTTATTAGTTTGTTTTCCGTGGCTAATGCTTTTGGTATTGATCTAGGAAATGTTTGCCTAACCAACGTCACAAAAGATTTTAAAAGATTTTTCTCCTTTGTATTTTAGAATCTTAATAGTTTTAGGTTTTACATTTAGGTTTAATAACATTTTAGTCAATTTTTGTGTATGATTCAAAATTCCAGGTATAGAGGAATGCTGAGTGCCCCTCCCCACCTTTTTGGCACATGGATATCCATCTGTTATAAAACCATTTTTATTTTTATTTTACTTATTTGCTTTTTAAATTTGTTAAATATGGAATGCTTCACAAATTTGCATGTCATCCTTGCACAGGGCCATGCTAATCTCTGTATTGTTGCAAATTTAGTTTATGTGCTACTGAAGCAAGCACTAAAACCATTTTTAAAAAACTATCCTTTCCACCATTGAATTACCTCTACATCTTTGGTGAAAATCAGTTGATTTTATGTGATTATGTGAATCTATTTCTGGACTTTTTATTCTGTTCCATCCCTCCACCAATACCATACTGTTTTGATTATTGTATCTTTATAATAAGTCATAGGGACAGAGTAAATCCTCCAAATTTGTTCTGTTTCAAAGTTGTTTTGGCTAATTGGATTCCTTTAATTTTCATACACATTTTAGATTCATCTTGTCAATTTCTCTAAAAATGCCCACTGGACTTTTGATTTGGATCATGTTGAATCTATAGATCAATTTGAGGAGAAATGACATCCTAAGAATATCAAATATTTTAATTCATGAAGACTGCATATTTCTCAGTTTATTTAGATCTTTAATATCTCAACAATATTTTGTTTCAGTGTATGGACCTTGTACATTTTTAATAGATTTGTCTATAAATACTTTATACTTATGATGTTATAAAAGTATTTTTTAACATATTTTTATAAAGACTGCATAATTTCTGTATACAATAAATATAGGAAAAAGGTTTTTTTAAGTGAAATACAATTAATATAAAATAGTATATTAGTTTCAAGTGTACAATATAATGATTCATCTGTGCTGTACATTACTCAGTGCTTACAAGGTAAGTGTACTCTTAGTCCCCTTTATCTATTTCACTCACTTATCCCCCAGCCTACCTCCCCTCTGGCAATCACCAGTTTATTCTCCATATTTAAGACTCTGGGTTTTTTTTTCTTTGTTTCTCTTTTTATTCATTTGTTTCTTAAATTCCCATATGAATGAAATCATATGGTATTTGTTCATATCAAAATACCAACAGCATTTTTTATAGAACTAGAACAAATAATACTAAAATTTGTATGAAGTGGGCAGCCTGGGTGGCTCAGCGGTTTAGTGCTGCCTTCAGCCCAGGGCGTGATCCTGGAGACTTGGGATCGAGTCCCGTGTCAGGTTCCCTGCATGGAGCCTGCATCTCCCTCTGCCTGTGTCCCTGCCTCTCTCTCTCTCTCTCTCTCTCTCTCTCTCTCTCTCTCTCATGAATAAATAAATACAATATTAAAAAAAAAATTTTGTGTGAAGTCACAAAAGTCGCCAAAGAGCCAAAGCAGTCTAGAGAAAGAAGCACAAAGCTGGAGGTATCACAATCTCAGCTTTTAAGATATACTACAAAGCTGTAGTAATCAAAACAGGATAGTACTAGCACAAAAATAGACACATAAATCGATGGAACAGAATACAGAGCCCAGAAATAAACCTATGCTTATATGATCAATTAATCTACGACAAGGGAGGCAAGATTATACAATGGGGAAAGGACTGTTTCTTCCAAAGACAGTGCTGGATAGCTACATTGTGGAGTAATGAAACTGGACCACTTTCTTACACCAGACATACCAAAAAACTAAAAAATTAATTAAAGACCTAAATGTGAGACCTAAAAACCATAAAACTCCTAGGAGAAAACATAAGTAGTAATTTCTTTGACATTGACTGTAGAAACGTTTTTCTATATATAAAAAATATTTTTCATTTTAATTTTTGATCATTGCTGGTATATAAAGGATTCAGTATTTATGTGTTTACTTTAAGTCTTGCAATTTTACTATATTCAACTATTAGTGCTAGTACTGTTTTTTTGTAGATTTCATAGGCTTTTCTACATAAGTGATTACATCATCAACTTAAATAGAGACAGTTTTCCTTCTTCCTTTCTTTTTTTTTTAAATTTTTTTTTTTTTATTTATTTATGATAGTCACAGAGAGAGAGAGAGAGGCAGAGACATAGGCAGAGGGAGAAGCAGGCTCCATGCACCAGGAGCCTGACGTGGGATTCGATCCCGGGTCTCCAGGATCGCGCCCTAGGCCAAAGGCAGGTGCTAAACCGCTGCGCCACCCAGGGATCCCCTCCTTCTTCCTTTCTGATCTGAATGCCTTTTATTGCTTTATTACATTGAATTAAATCTACAGTACTGAGTTGAGTAGAAATGGTGAGAACAGACCATCAGTGCCTTGTTCATGATCTTAGAGGGAAATCATTCAACCTTTTCATCAAAAATTGTTTTTATGGTAATATTAGTTAAGGGTTAAATCCTAGATTCCATCTAGGCTTTCTTGTAAGAAAGGGAATAATATTATGAACCTTCAAAGTAGTTAATTAAAAAGGATGATTTGAAGTCATCCTTTTTTGTTATTATAACTTTTTGTTAATGTTTACTGATAGGCCTGTAAAATTTATTTTATGTTTTTTTGTTCTGTTTTCCAATTTTTCTTCACATTTGTTTCTTGGTTGTGTAAGTTTTCTCTTGTTCCAGTTGAGGGGTGTGAGTTTAAATTTCTTTCTACCTGCCTACATGAGATGTATTTTTATGCTTTGAAAAACAAGGATTTTTTTCAGAATAGACTGAGCCTGAACAGGACATATAAAATATATATATATTTTTTAAATTTTTATTTATTTATGACAGTCACAGAGAGAGAGAGGCAGAGACACAGGCAGAGGGAGAAGCAGGCTCCACGCACCGGAAGCCCGACGTGGGATTCGATCCCGGGTCTCCAGGATTGCGCCCCGGGCCAAAGGCAGGCACCAAACCGCTGCGCCACCCAGGGATCCCATATAAAATATATTTAATATTATGAAAGTCTAGTAACAGTGACATTATTTTTATTTTTTTAAAGATTTTATTTATTCATGAGAACACAGAGGCAGAGGCTCAGACAGACCACTGAGCCACTCAGGCATCCCCATTATTGACATTTTTAAGTGAAAAAAATCTTATTTTAGCTACCAGGATTAGCCCTTCTTTAAATAGCTCCACTAATTTAATTTAATTTAAATCAGAACACTCTCAAAAGTTCATCATCAGGGATGCCTGGGTGTCTCAATTCAGTTAAGCATCTACCTTTGGCTCAGGTTATGATCCCAGGGTCCTGGGTTGAGCCCCACATCAGGTTCCCTGCTCAGCAGGGAGTCTGCTTCTCTTTCTACTCCACCCCACCCCACCCCACCCCCACCCTGCCTGTGATCTCTGTCTCTTACACTTTCTCTCAAATAAATAAAATCTTTTTTAAAAAGTTCATCATCAGAATCTTAACTGATGGACCCTTTTGAACTTTTCTAATTTCTTAAGCAATGACAGACATTCAGGTACATTTGTTTTCCTCTATTTTAAATATCCCTGGAACACAAGTTGGCAAGAGTTTCATCATAAACCTCTCTTTCTATCCTGTTCACCTAATTCAGCAGTGTAGCCAGGAATCCCTAATAAGTTTCTGCAGGAACATTTTTGAAAGCCTAATTTTTTTCTGTCCGTTGGTTTGGAAAATCCTGTTTCTCCTTATTAGAACTGAAATAACTAAAAAGTGAGAGGCTTATATTATGTATTTAGGGAAAGTAGAGAAGAGAGTGTGTCTGTGAGTTACATCTCTCAAAACCATATTCTAAGTATATGTATGAGGTTAATTCCTGTTACTCACCTGATTTATTTTCTTTATCTGGGCCTTTCCTAATAAGCTCAGTGACAGACAGAGATCAATCCTTTGTCAATTCCTTATCTTTAATTTATTAATTAATTTTAAAAATTCAAGTTCAATTAGCCAACATATAGTACATCTTTAGTTTCAGATGTAGAGTTCAGTAATTCATCAGTTGCATATAACACCCAGTGTTCATCACGTCATGTGCCCTCCTTCATGCCTGTCACCTAGCCCTTTATGCCTGGATAATCAACTCAATAGAAAAAGGTCCATTATTTTAGAGCACCTTTTCTTTTTCATGTTGTTGTGAGAATGGTTTCTCTCATAAACTGTGAAAGGATTTATCTTTATTAATTATTGAAGTTCCTTCATAATTCTTATGGTTCTTATGCAAATGCTATATAGATTGTTACCTATTTAGAATACTTATAAGTTAATTGGAAAACAATGAAACAATCATGGTTTACATGCTTGAGACTAATAGGGCTCATTTCCTCCCTTGCTTTGGACCTGACTTGTTTTGGACATGAATGAAATACCAGTACTTGTTATGTTAATTTTTCTCCCACTAAGCTAAGTGTAATGATACTATGTTGTGTAGCACAGATATCAGATATAACCTTTAATAAATGGAAACTGCTTGGCTTTCCTTAAGAGCATATTGGTTGAATTTTTTTAGTAAATAAAAGTGTTCACTTGAATATTTAAGGAAAAGTTCTTAGCATCGTAGGACTAAGTTTGAGTGGTTTGATGTTAAAGGCTCTTTTTGTTAGAGACATGTTACGGTTCTATTTCTAAAAAGCAGCTCCATTTTATAAAGATGAAAAAGAGAAAAAATCACAAAATAGATAATAGATACTTAGATGTTAATTGGATTCTGAAAGTTACTATAGCGTATGAGATATCTGTACTATTAATAGCATGAGTCATTACAACTATTCTTACACAACATGTACACCTTCCATTATTACCCACCTTTTAGTTCTAATTTCTTTTTTTTTTTTTAAGATTTTATTTATTTATTTGAGAGAGACTGAGAGCCAAAGAGATCATAGAGAGAGAGGGAGAAGCAGATGCTGCTGAGCAGGGAGCCGGATGCAGGGCTTGATTCCATGACCCTGAGATCATGCCCTGAGCTTAAGGCAAATGTTTAACTGACTGAACCACACCCATGTGCCCCTAGTTCTTATTTCTTATCCAAGGCTAAAGATACAAATATATACAAACATGTGACTTTATTAGCCTTAGACTAGTGCATCTTCATGCTAGTTTCAGGTTTTACTGTTTTTAGGGGAAGTTATTCCAACTTACCTTTATCTCTTAACATTGTCCATAAGTTGTCTGGAAGGTTCTTTTTTCAGAAGGCTCAGTTCTTTTGTATATAACTTTTACTCAGGGCAGTTACTCTCTTCTCAGATCGTTAATCCCTTTCAGAATCCTATGAAAAATAGGAAAAATACATGCACTTCTACTTAAAATTCA